TAAACTGCTTAAAAAAAGAATAGAAAATAAAAAAAAAAAGAATTAACACTTTGTTTTGCTTTTTTTTTCACTCTATATTCTAGTCACACTAAGGTTACGTTAATGTACTAATATAGTATTCGTTGCATGCATTGCATTATTATGTAATGAATGCAACGCATAATTAAATATCTTCACTTATAGTAAAAGTAACGTTTAGTTAAAAGTAGCATAGAAATCGTTTTAACAAACATATTCAACACTAATTTATAATGTATATTTTTATTTTTAAGGTTGTTAAAACTCACATTATATACAATTTTGAAGTGTGAATATCGCGTTCTTTCAATTATCTTAATAATTAAATAATAATTAGGATTAAATGAAAATTATTTTTTAATTTTTACCTAGTTTGTTCTAAATGATAAAATTACACTCGATTTGAAAAAATTTTTTTTAAAATTTTTCGAATAATATTAGGGTTCCTAATATTATTCGAAAAATATTTCTTGTATATAATAGAAGCAAAATTTTATAGTAATCATTTTATATGAATACTATTATTTTAAATTTTATTGCATCAAAACTTTCGTTTTTTACCATTTAATTCATAGGTGTTTACTTCAGATTTGTATCATTACTATTTGTAAATATCCTTGATGTAAGACCTTTTATTCAGAATAAATTTGATTTGATTTGATTTGATTTGAATAAAAAAAGTTAGAAATTTTATGGATTTTTTAAAATGATAACCAATGAAATAAAAATCAATTGTTAAAAAAAAAAAGAAAAAAAAACTAAATTGAATTTAGTATATTATTTTTTTGTTCACAGATTACAAAACTTTGAATTTAACATAATAACATTAAGTAATTAATAATATGATTTTATATATACCAAAATCAATTGTTTTTTCCGTAACAACGCCCTAACAACTGATTTATATTAAAAACATTTGTAAAAAGTTTACAAAACAACTGCTTTTGAAATAATTATGCAAAAGAGCAGAATTTTTGACATTTTGTTTTTTATAGTGACAAAATTCATATAAGAGAAGGTTTTTGTTCAACGCATTTTAGTTCTTGAAATTTTATTATATTTTAGTTGTATGGCTCGCCTAATTTTTCTGAGAGTTAGTTTTTTATGCGCTGTTTATAAAAAATTCTTTTATTTTTATTAATTTTCTCTTAAATGAGTTTTGTTACTCTCTTTACAGGGCCGACGAAACAGGTTAAAAAATGGAGGGGCACAATCTTCGATTTCTAAAAGAGTCCTCTATATCTAAGAATTTCTTAAAAAACAAATAAAAAAAAGTATTAAAAAAAAAAGTGTGTGTGTGTGTGTGGAGGGGTGGGTAGGGGGCAATGTCCCTTTCTATTCCCACCCCCCGTGTTGTCGTGCTTTATAATATGTTACTAATTTCATGTTAAAATGATTGGTTTATTTTGAGTAATTATTTCACAAAAACTTTTTTACTTTTTAATTGGGTAATCGAGGCATTGTATATGTGAGAAAATATTTTTTAAAAAAATTCAATGATGTATTAATGTTATAAAAATGCCTATAAAAATAGGCCTCCAAAAACAAAAATAGCCCCTGGCCCTTAGAAGTCTTAATCCACCACTGTATATATATATATATATATATATATATATATATATATATATATATATATATATATATATATGTGTGTGTGTGTGTGTGTGTGTGTGTGTGTGTGTGTGTGTGTGTGTGTGTGTGTGTTTAGCACCTAACCAAGTGGATAAACAAGTTATTTAATAAATATTTACCAGCTAATTGTAAACTAAATGAGCTGGGTGCTTTTTTATAGCTGAAACAAGATGTCCCAGTTTTGAACTACTTGTTTTAAGTTTTTTAATTATCATATGCGCCAATTTTTGTGTTACAAGTTATTACAATAAATTATATAAGTTTATTATAAGATTACGAAAATGCAACCTTTTTTTTTAATATTTGTATTTAGAAAACGTTATATTGTGACATTGAAGTGTAGTTTTATTTTACGTTCAACAGTGTAATGTGAAGTTTGCAAAATTAAAATTAAAGAACCTTCACAAAAAAGGAGGCTGAAGAAGGCTGAGGAGTGAGGCTGAAGAAGGCTGAGGAGTGAGGCTGAAGAAGGCTAAGGAGTGAGGCTGAAGAAGGCTAAGGAGTAAGGCTGAAGAAGGATTGAGGCTGAAGAGCTTCACCATTTTCTAGCCCTAAACTCCAATTTGATAATGAATAAGGTTCATTAGTAAAACACGTATAAAAAGTAGATTATTTTAAATGCATTACATGTAACAAAGTAGCTTTTTAAATTAACATTAGTAAAGATTAGTATAAAATAAAAATAAATAAATAAAAATTTGTAAAGAGTTAAAGTTATGTCATAGATTTTGTTAAGCATGGTGTTCTTTCCCTTCTTTTAAAAAATTTAACTGCTAAACTTATTTTAATTGGGACTTTCCATTCATTACATCGGCTTAGTAAGGGTAAGAAGAAGTCTGAAAACTTGTGACAATTATTTACAATGATGAGAAAGGGTGTTAAGAAAAATTATTTACAATAAGGAGAGAGGGTGTCAAGAAAAATTATTTACCATGAGGAGAAAGGGTGTCAAGAAAAATTATTTACAATGAGGAGTAAGGGTGTCAAGAAAGGGTGTCAAGAAAAATTAACTCCAACAATGTTACTTTTTTCAAAAAATTTAATTACTTAAAAAATGGAAAGAAAAAAATTTATTTTTATTTTTATTAATTAAGTTTTTTGGGGAAAGGAGGTGGAAAGTCTAATGTTGAAGTGATTTTATAGAAGGGATCTCTATATGTTTGACGAGTTGTTAACAAGGAAGTGGAGGAGGTAAAAAATGGCCGAAAAATTGTAGACATAAATAATAGACAGCCCCGAGGTTGTCAACAACAACAAGAACAACAGAAAATGCAAATTATTCCAAAGTTTGTTTTATTTTTTAACATAAAGAAATTATATTTATATTGAAATACAAAAATGAGGGAATATTTTTTAGTTTTTTGAATTCTGAATCATTAACGATATGTTTAAAACATCACTTTCTTAAAACAAAAGAGTTTAAGTTATCAGTGTGTTTGTTTTACACAAACTTTGGTATGAAAAAAACTATCTAGGTTTCTTAACAATATTATTTCAAATAAATCAACTTTGCTAAAAACGTTGCACAGGCGAATATTTTATACTTATTTCTTAGGAAGTAAATTTTAAAAAAGTTTTATAAAATGTAGCATGTAAAGTAAACATTTTCCAAAAGAAAATAAATGTAACTTTTTTTTTTCATGAAATTTTATTACTTGAAAAAAAGCAGAATTTTTTTTATAGACGACCATCTTAATGACGACCATCTTAATGAAAAAAAGAATAAAAAAAAAAAGAAAAAGTATTCTATAGCAAACTTTTTGTATAACTATATGTGTTTTTCCATAACAAATGTTTTAATATATTTTTAGGGTACCATCTTAATAAAACATAAATAATATTAGGCTGCTCTTATTTTTACCAGTCCATAAATATTCTGGAAGCACGGTTTAATTGATAAATCTGAAAACTCTATTAAGTTAAAGCGTGGAAGATAAATCAATGAAAGTTTACTAAGAGTTAAACATCAAAGTAATTTCAAGTCATCACGGAACTCGTAATGCTTATATGCTTTAATCGTAATCTAGCTTTATAAACTTCATATTTTCTCCTTCAATAACTTCCAACTCTAATAGTGGTTGCAGCCTTGTTAGAAGTGAAAATGTTACATTACAAAAGAATTTGTAATGTTTAGGTATGTATAAAATAAGTACAAAATATTTATTTGTTTTAGAAAATTTATAAAGTCCTATATTATTATTTTACACGCATAAAAAAAGTTTTTTAGACAATAACCATTTTCTATTTCGGAAAATTCAATCAAATATAAATTTCGCAACCCCTAAATAAAGCGAAATTAAAGTTAGTACCGTAACTTAGTTACATTATATTTGCTATTTTTAAAAAGTTGAATCGAACATTAATTTTACAAGCGAGAGAGTAGAATTAAAATAAGTGACGTAATATAATGGCAGTTTCATCTTAACTTAAGAATCTCCTTGACTTGTTTGTGCATACATTTTTTAAAGAGAATTTACACTTTTTAAATGTATACCCGGGGCATAAAAAAACAGATTAGGTCACTAAGCTCTGCAAAACTTATATTCATTAAAATTCGTTGCATTTTTATTACATTTATGTGACTAATTATGATTCATTAACAGCGCCGGATTTATACTTCTGGGACTCTAGGACTAGGTAATGTTTTGGGACCCTTTTTATAACTAAAATTTTTTGTTTTTATGACATTTTATATTGGGACTGAAAATGTGTGAAAAAGACAACTATGTAACGCATGATATAAAAATAATTAGTATATTTTTATTTCCATTTTTAATTAGTTTTTACAACAATTTCAAAAAATTCTGAAATTTTTCGACATATTGGGGCCCCTATAATCGCGAGGCCTTATGACGCGGCGTAGTCAGCTTATTGATAAATCCGACTCGTTAAATTAAAAAAAAAACAACACTTTTCATTGCAAAATATTTTTTTTTTATATTTTAAACAAGCGCGCGCACACGCACAAAAAATCACAAAGACACACGTGCACATTGTTAGCATAAATAATAAATATTTAAAAAATCCTGTCCTATTTAATAGGATTGGTTTTTAAAAAAAGGAAAAAATAAAAGCGGTGCCGTTTTTTTTTGTTTTTGTTTTTTTTGTTTTATCACTTTTGAACATAAATATAAAAATATGATAAGGATTTAACTTGAAACACTAAGTTTATCAAGTTTATTAAAATGTATTTTGGGATGAGAAAAACGATCCTTGTATTAATCTTTCTAGTATGTTTTTGTTTACATAGTAGTTTACTTATTTTTGTAACGTTAGTGATTTGCGAAGCAATGTTTACACAGTTTAGGTAACGACATATAAAAGAAAAACATGTGTTTAAAACACACATGTTTTTCTTTTATATGTCGCACAAACGAGATAGGTTTATAAATTGTTTAACTTTGTACATTAAAGGATCGCGACAGCTTTTTTTGGTGATTGAGGTATGTCACTTTCAGACATGAAGCAAACTTCAAGCATGGGTATGTTTATTCTTGAATGGAGATACTTTGGAAAAAGATGTATTAGGTAGAGCCTGAGAAAAAAAACACATCAAAACTTGTGCCCTTTAAACACGAGGATGACAAGTTACTCAGTTTTATACTGATACTATAAACTCTAAATTTATTCATTAACAGATTCCAAATTTTATCTAATAGTATTTTAGTTCTCAAAAGTTATAAACATCTAAAGTTTTTACCTCCTTTATTTTAAAGCTTTAGTTGCTCATAATTTTTAATAACTAAAACAATATTAGATGAAAAGTATGTAATAATTATATCTCCTTCATTTTAACTTTACATGGTAATATGCAATGGATATATGACAATGTAACAATACTTTTGAAATGATTTTCTCAATAACACTTATATGTTCTTCCCATGTTATATCTTGATCCAGAATTACATTTAGAAACATTAGTAACACTTTCTCTTACTAAATTTAGGGATGTTTAAGAGAAAAAATTACTTTAGAAATTTTAAATAATTTTTTAAAAGTTAATTAAGTAACGTAATTGATTTAAAGCAATTTTAGTTATTCTCCAAACAATGAGATATTTTGTATCATAGTACTATAGAAGTATAACAAAGCATAACATAACCAAATTTCAAGAACGCAACCAAGGCCGGCGCAATGGGGTGTATGGGGTGTGTAAACCCCCCTCCCCCATTAATGATTTTTTCGTTCATTTAGTCGGCAAATTTGATCCTTTCTGACTAGTCAGTCGGCAAATGTAGATCCACTCGACAAGTTAGTCGGTAAATTCATAGCAAATGTCGATAAGGCAGTCGGCAAATTTTAAAAAACGAGGAACTTTTTTTTTTTTTTAGTCGCGCGGGCCCTTAACGCAAATAACATAATGTGTCAATGATGCCCTCTACTTATTATTAAAAAAAGTCCCGAAGTACTAAAGCATCTTTTTGCTTCAACAAATGATGGTGGTAAAGTCTGTAAAAGTATATTGTAATTTTAAAGTGTTTTTTGGATAGTTATTTAATCCTTTTAATACAGTCATTTAAGAAAGTCTTGTTCATTATTAAATTGGAGTTTTGGGTTAGGAAATGGTGAAGTTCTTCAGCTTCACTCCTTTTTTGTAAAGGTTTTCTAATTTTATTTTTTAGGCTTCACATTGGACTGTATGCTTTAGGATCATAAAAGCCAAGAAAGAGCCAAGATAGAGCCAAGAAATCATCAAAATGTAAACTAAAAAACGATAACATTTTACTTTTAGGGTAGCTATACTTTAGGGGTAGGCGATATCGTGCACTGCACGAGGGCGTCAAGTAAATTGGGTCGGAGTTTGTCATTTTGTATGTTGTCATTTTGTAGTTGTAAATTAAATTTTTTATGTAAATAAATGCATTCTTTACTAGGAGTTTTTATTTTTACCAACCACTCTAATTGTTTGTATAATTTATTCGTTTCGATTTTGTTAATTTTTGTCATGAAATCTAAAAAGGCGACCCCCACTTCCCCAATTTAAATATATTAATATTAGTAAATAACGTGTTCTTTTTTATAATGCATGATTATTATTTATTTCTTTTCAATGTGTTATCTTTTTTAATTTAAATTTTTTTTATTCGTCCAGCAAATTTGTAAATTTGTCACAGACGACCGAAAAAATTTTGCTCTAGGGCGGCAGGAAGACTAAGGCGGGCACTGTAAGTGTATAAAAAATGAAAAATCGGACAACTTTAATACAAATTTTTATATCTAATTTGACATAAAATTACTTGATTTTACTAAAGTAATATAAATTTACTTAAGTACTTGAGTAAGTACTCAATTAATTAAAAAAGTAATTGTTTAAACAATTACTTTTTTAATTAATTGAGTTGTTTAAACAATTACTTAAGAATTTATCTGAAACATCCTAACTACATTTTAGTAGTTTGAGAGTTTAAAGATAAAAACATTTTTTTTTTAATGAATAATGTCTATTTTAGTAATATTTAGGGACAGTTTGTTGGATTTAAGCTATAGTGGTAATTCACAAAGCTCTATACTAAATAATATCGTTAAAACATTCGTGGGCGAGCTGGCCGTACACGCTATGCGTAAAATCCGCCTTTTATGTTACAGTTTCGTTGTACCTCTTTTTGTAAAAAAAAAAAAAAAAATCCTAATTTTTTTAAAAGTTTTAAGACTAATGCAAACTGATTTTTTTTTTTAGATATAACTTTAAGTAAAACTATATATGTTTACGCAAATCAGGTTTCAATCTCGTATCACTTAAACCATGAAAGTATGATTAAGACGGATGTTTAACCAATCGAAATGTTTGGGACTAAGCTCATAACCATTTATTTTATAAACAAAAGAAATCTACTTCAAAAAAGTACTTCCGAAATTTGTAACTAATATTGTGTCGCACGTATAGATTAGTTTAAAATTATAAAACCTTGCCATACAATACTTAAAATTTTTCAAGTAAAACGTTTACCGTTAAAAAAAATAAAAGTAAAGCTTTAAAATTTTTAGAGCGATTATTTAAAAATTATGCTGACTAAACTTTAGGCGAGATTAGTGAGATTTAAAGACTAATAATTTGTATGAAATTTTTGGAATGAATGAGAGCTACTTTGCAACGTTTCCTTCTTAACAAGTTTTTTTTTATTAAATAAGCTGTTATCTTTGTTTTTTGTTTTTTGTAAAGATTACTTTATTACTTCTTTAAAATGTCGGGTACTTTTAAATTGTTGTTTACAATGATAATACTTAAAAAAAAAAAAACTTTTACTAATTTAAAATTTATTTTATAAATAAATTATTTTTTGTTTAATTTTTTTGTACTGAAATCAATAAATTAAAAACTTTTTAACAGAGATTAAAAACGTTTGAGTTGAACTTTTCTATTCGATTAATGAACTTTTTATTCGATTAGTCTTAACAACGTCTAATCTTAAAAAACATTCTTGCAATCAAGGCGTGTTTAGTTGTTTAAGTGTTCAGTTGACTTATTTATAAATTAAAGTGTCCAATTGAATGAAGTCCTTTACTCATTTCAACCGAAGAATTTATTTTAAAAATAAGTAAAATTTATTTTATTTATTTTACAACTGGGTATTTTTATTAAATAATTATTTTTGATAGTTTCTTGTTTTTTAAAAATTGGTTTCTAATGCGGCAAAGCTTTAAAGTTTTAAACGCTATGAAGGTATATGACGTTACCTATTGTCATCTTCCAGTACAACTGAGGTTGGGTTGTTAAATAAACAAAGTCAATATTTTTTGTTACATAACTGAAGAAGAATTTATATGTTTGTTTATGAACCCCGTCTGAAAAAAAAATTTCCTTTTTTAAAATATTTTTAAAGTTATTTAAATTGATAAAAACGTGTATCTGCTACGGTAGTCTCTCGCTTCGTTGCGCACCCAATTAGTTGCGCATGCCAGTTAATTGCGCAGTTAATGGGTCCAAAATATTTGTGTTCCAATTTTTTACTGAGTTTTTCGTTGAAAGTGTAATTAGATTAGAAAACGTAACTATTATTTTCTTGTGTTAAGTTAAAAACTAGTTTTTATCATCAATATTTTAAGATAATGATTTTATCAAATAATGATTTCATCATATTTTACTTCTTCTGCCATTGACAATATTTTAACAAAAAACTCTTTTAATTCTGATTTTAAGTCATAAACGAAATAAGTAATGCGGATATGATGACATTACTAGCAATGTAGCAATACACGTCATTGAATGTATTTGAAAACCCTTATTTCATCTAATATCGTCTTTTTTTAAACACAGTACTTTTCCTGATATGTTAAAAATTGCTAAAGTCAATCCTGTTTATAAAAAGAGATTGTAATAATATGTCTAACTACCGTCCAATTTCCCTCCTACCAGTGTTCTCTAAAGTTAATGAAAAAGTAATCTATAATCGAATTTATAATTACTTGCAATTAAACAAACTTTTATGTGAATATCAATTTGGTTTTTAAAAAAGTTGCTCAACAGAACATGCTATCATTGAACTTACTAATAAAATATTTCAACTTTTTGATAAAGGGGATCATGTACTGGGAGTATTTATAGACCTTTCAAAGGCATTTGATACAGTTGACCGCAACATCTTACTATCAAAATTAAAACATTAAGGTATCAAAGGACTAATGTATAAATAGGTAAAAAACTATCTGAGTAACAGAAAGCAGTTTGTAATTAACAAAGATTCAAGTGTTCTTGATATTGAGTGTGGGATCCTTCAAGGCTTAATCTTAGGACCGTTATTGTTTTCAATTTAAATCAATGATATGCATAAAGCATCATCTATAGCATCTTCAATAATGTATGCTGATGACACAACTTTATTTTATAACCATAGTAATTTAAAATCGATGAAAATTAACTACATCTTATTTCAAAAACAGGTCAATCAATGTCTCTACCGTTAAAAATTTCACTGCTCATTAACAACATAACGATAAAACGGGAAAAATGTGCAAAGTTTCTTGGTATTCAAATTGATGTAAATTTATCATGGAGAAATCATATTGGACACATAGAATCAAAAATATAATCTGCAATAGCTATTTTATATAAATGTCGCCTGTTTCTTGATTTCTGTTCAAGAAAATAACTTTTCTTTAGTCTAATTCACAGTCATCTCACATATGCTAATATAGTGTGGGCTTATACACACAAAAAAAACATTAATCAAACTACAAGGCTTGCAAAACCATGCTTGTAAAGCAATTTACTATCGAGGTAGAATGGACAATCCTTCCAATGCGATGACAAATATGAAAGTCTCAAACTTGGAAAAACTTAATTTATATCAGATTCTTATTTTTATGTTCAAATATAAAAATAATATGCTAGCAACTTCTTTTTTAGACATATTTTCGTCATCATTTTCTCAAAGTTATAACCTGCGATCAAATAGCTTCCATAACTATTATATTAAAAAAACTAAAGCCCAGAGTTCTGAATTTTCAATTATGTCACAGAGTACCAAAAAATGGAAAAACTTGAAAAACCAAACATTAAAAGACTTAAATGGAATATCGTTGTTTAAAAGGCAAGCAAAGTTGCAGGCGCACCTGTACACGGCGCACCCTAAACTCTTGTGGCTTATCTTTTTTTAATCGATCTTCTAAAGGTATCTTCTGGTAGCTTCTCTTCTTTACATATCTTTATGTGGCTTATTTTCTTTTAGTTTTTGCAACGTATATTTTGTGTTGTACATAAAAAAAAGTTCAATACAAATATTATGAAACATTTTCAATGTAAATATTATATTATAATACTTATTTTTTACATTACATTACAGATGATCCCTATCATTAATATGTTTTAAGAATAAAGAGAAATACAAGTTACATCAAAACACTTAAAAATTCAATGTTTTTAACGTTATGCCCAACATTATATTTTCGTTTAAAAAATAAAGATTCATCTATCTCTACGATGAGCACTGGACCACCTAATTGATTTACAACAGTTTTAAATGAACAAATATCCCGGAAATATTGATACCACTGAATTGAGATTTTTTCGTTTACACCTACTACCTCAGATGCAGCGGTTACAGAAACCTCCAGGACCCATATAAACATTAATTGAAGTATCAGACTTAGACTTAAAGATGTAAAGCTTTCAAAAAATCCTGCTCAAATCGTCTTCGTATTTTTGCAAGTCTTGCATCGCCAAAAAGGTTTTTCCTTAAATAAAGTATTTTAAAGATACAAGGGATCATCTGTTTTATGCAAATAATAATAAAAACGTTAAGTATTCATACTTGACAACGTTCATAATTTTGCACAACCATTCTTTGACCACATAGACAAAGTTTTTGAAGTGGCATTAGCCTTTTTTGTTGCAAAAAATCAACCAATTTTGCTTCTTTGATACTTTCAATGAACTCAGCTAAAGGTGTCATCTTATTTATTTTAAAGGCGGTAAAAAATGGGCTAAGGAAGTGCGAATTAAAAACTTTTATGCTAAATTTTCATTCGTTAATATTAGCCAATCATTAAACGACAAATTTATCGTTTCGAACTTTACCGAGTTCGTTTACGAACTTCACCGGATTTAGGGTGCGCCGTGTACAGGTACGCCAAGCTGCATATTCTTAGTTTGTAAAAATGATTGTAATTATTAAAAAAATTATAAAAAGTAAATACATATATATATATATATATATATATATATATATATATATATATATATATATATATATATATATATACATATATATATACATATATATATATATATATATATATATATATATATATATATATATATATATATATATATATATATATATATATATATAATTTAAGTGACATCTTTAATAGTATGTGTAATTATAAGCATTAAAACATCATATATGGTATTATACTATTTTATTTTTATTTATT